AAGTGCAGGTAACAAGTTTATCAGGAAGAGAGAGTAAGGAATACTAAAATTAGCAGATTCTTGTCTGAATTTTTAATGTCCAAAACTGTTGATTGCAGCTAGTTGCTTTGAGCATTGACAAGGGCCACATTTTGCCTATGAAGTTGTTTCAAAATCTTGCATTGATTAAAAAAGAAAAAAAAAAAGGAAAAAAAAAAAAAAGGAAAAAAGAAAAAAAAATCTTTAATCCAAGTAGCATTAGGTATTGCTGTATGATCAGTCGTATGGTTATTTGAAAGGTTCACATTATGTGGCATCAAAATCGTTTTTAGTGTTTTTACAGCATCCCTCTGCCACTAAATAGTTGACTTGAATTTTGAAAACAAATGTTTGTGTTTATATGTATATGTGTGTGTATATATGTATTTATAGATCTGTGTGTGTGAGTTAAAAGTGAGTTAAATAGTTTTTCCCATGCATGTGTATTTCATACATATCTGGCTGATATATATATTTCACCATACACCAATTTTATAATTTATTAAATGTCAGTTAAAAAATAAATAAAAGGATAGAAAATGGGAAATACTTATTTTTTAAACTCAGTCTGATTTTGAAGTGATTAAACCTACACTAGGAATATATCTCATACATTTTAGTCATGAATACTAACCTGGTAACTTCAGAGCATATGCTTTGCTATAATACCGTTTGTAAATCTGGAGTAGGACTGCCATCGGTGTAACTGGGAGCGTGCGTGTCCCCAGCTTCTGAAACACCTAAGAGAAATTCGGGAGAGCTTGTGGCTGTTTTACTGACGATTGTGGCAACGTTTCCATTGACTGTATTGTTAAAGATGACCTGAAGAGCAGCTTATGTCACTTTTGGCAATGGTATTAAAATCTTGTTAATTCGCATAAACAAATTAAATGTGGCGAGTGTGTGGTAACACGGAACCTGGCATCTCTATGCCCGTCTGAGCTTGTGGAAAGTGAGGTCAGCTGATGACGTCTTCCATTTCCTCACAAGTTACCCGGGAGGGGAGGAAGGCTGTTCAGTTCACCGTGGGCATTTTTTAACCTCGTTGCTCTACAAAGAAGGGACAGAAATGTTCTTAAGTCCTCCTTTGTGGTATTAATCCCATATGCTTTGTGAGTATTCCTGTTTCATGCTAGGGTGTTCTTTATAGTTGATAATTCTCTGTGCCTCTGACCACAGTTAACATTGCTTGGTAGAAGTCTCAGTCTGAGTTCTCGACAAGTTCCCTGCAAATGTCACCCCAAAACTCAGTCTCCGTTAGTTCGCCTGTTACCAAAGGTGGGGTAGAGCGGCCCAGGGCGGCCCGGCTTGCGGTACTGCTCCGTTCGCTGCAGATGGCAGAGTTTCTGTCATCCTTACGCTCGTGGTCTCTTGTCCTCAAATTCTTCCACCGGAGGAGCGGGGTGTGCGCACACGTGCGTGCGTCTGTGTTACCGACAGCGCCCTGCGCCTGTACGTACATCTATGCACCGGTATCGGTGCGTAGCTGTTGTTCGGATAGCAGGGTGGAAGTGGCTTTGAATCGCTCTTGAGGGCATTACTGATGCATCCTTCAGAAGACGAAAAACCGTGCTAAACTATAACCCATGCCATGCGTTAAAAACTTCGTAGCGCTTCCGTAATGATAGACGTGACGGCAATTCCAGGCTTGCCCCTTCCTCTCCGTGGCAAGGATTCAATAAGCCTTTCAAGGACGGGATGACTGATAGATTTCCATTGGACTCTCTTGGACCTGCCTCCCAACACAGAGCTAAGGACTGTGAGGAGAACGTTTTGAAAATTAATTCTTCGTTGCAGTTGAACATTTCAGGGTTTTAAGCACATTTTAAATAGAAAGGATTTTGGTTTGTCAGTGTAACTGTTTTTTTCTTTTTTTTTTTTTTTATTTTTTAACAGAGCTTAGATTTCTAACAAGGGAAAATTGCTGGTGGTCCCCAAAAGTGCTGCTGTTAATTGTTTTAATTAACAAAGGGAAAAATGTATATAAGCAGAATATTAAAAATACCATTAATTCCATGAATTTAAATCTGTCATTCATTGCCTTAAAACTTTCTCTTAGTTTCCATACGGCATGCCAAACCAGTAAATGGCTTTTAAAAATGTATAGTAGACCAATGTCAGTTTGTATAAAAGTACCAAGTGAAAATATTTATTATATGCATTGGAAAAAAAAAATGGTTTACCTATTGAATGTTACCTGTTTATGTAGAAATCTTTAGATGTAATAAAAAACATTCAGTTACGTTGTGTTTCCTGGGGGGAAAAGGGGGGGGGGGCAGGGTGTTTTCTGTGAACTCAGAGTTGCAAAGGTCCCTTTTGACCAGGAATGCTTTGCTTCTAAACGTTTTGTGGCACGAGTGGCGCAGGCTGGCCTCTCCAAGCTCTAACAACCCTGCTTTGTTTTGTGAGCGCGTGTGAAGTGCGGTTCCTTTTTGCTAGCTTTTATTTGGGTAATGTTTACCCACCCAGCGAGGGTAGGAGCCGCCTGTTACCATATGGATGCGTTCTGGAGTAATCCAAAGTGATTTTGAGCTGATCAGTCCCCATGACATACAAGCTTTTATATTGTCTGCAGCTGAAAGGATCTGTTAATCAACTGTTCTGGTCAATAGGGAAGAATTAAGCTGTGTATTGGATCATTTGTAATTTGGCTATTGATGCATATTGGAAACAAATGCTTCTAAACGAGCTCGTCGTTTCATAAGCTAATCACGCTCGCGTTCAAAGCAACCGAGGTTTTTGCTCACCTTCATCTCTGGTACTTCTGTAGCGAAGGTCTGGAACAGCGCCGGTGGGCAGACACCAAATTCCGCGCCGTGGGCAGACCTCCAAAAGGCGCTGGTGCTCAAAGGCTCGGCATCAAGGTAGGTGAGGTTTTTGTCCAAACATTGAGATTAACTGCGACCAGTGGGAGGAGAGTTACAGGGGAAATCCTATCTTTTGCTGTTACTTGGAACCAGTTCTTGGTTCTTCTAGTGAATCCTATCTCTATTTCACTGTATAATGTTTTTCTGGAGCGTTATCTGAGTGTTGAGCTGCTTGTCACTCTTAATTTTCAGAGGAACAAAGGGTTTTTCGTTTTGTTTTTTTCTACCTGTAGAGTAGGAAAAGCTGACATAAGAATTGAGGGATGCGGTAGACAGGTGTGACAGGTACGTCAGTTTTGCATCGAGCAGTTTATTTCCCCTTGAAGCGTGATCCTTTGCTGCTCAGAGGGCCTTTGGTTAGTGTCTCGGCGTGTCAGGATCCAAGTCTGAGCTCACTGGGTTAGCCTGGGACTGCCGTCTTGTGAGGACCGCGGGCTCTGCAGCTTGGCTCTGAACTGGGGAGGCTGGGCACAGAACTGCCATTTGTCTGAGAGCTGCATCCCGGATCCGCTTCCATTTCTTGCCTAGCATCTTTCATGCTTTTTTACCCCCATGTAATAATATTCCATGAGAAAGATCCCTAGCTTACCCTTTTTAGAGACACTGGTACTGATTTGGAAGGGTTAAGATGGGCTCGTGCTTTGGTTTTTCAGTTTCTAACCAAGTTTGTGCTGGTTGCAGCCCTGGCTGATCCCCAGTGTTGCAGTGACGTGCGATGGTTTCGGTGGTAGTCTGCGGTGTTCAGGCAGTGCTTGGTGCCTCAGTAGGGGATAAATGCATCTTATCGATAACGGCCGTCATGATTTAATTGCTGGTCATTTCACAAATTGAGCAAAGAGCGAGTTAGTTGCTTCAGTGATAAAAATTCAGAATTAAAAAAAGGAAGGAGAGGCATGGGTGGAAGGAGGGGAAGGGGGCTCCCGTGGCCCCAGCAGCGCCGGCAGGAGCCTGTGCTCTTCCTTTGCTCTTTCCAGACCAAAGATGGTCTCTCCAAATTTCCAGTTGACTCCAGAGAGAGCCTGTATGTTGTCCTAAATTTCATACCAGTCCGAGGACCTTAGCTAAGGCTGCCAAGGTGTAGGTGGAGTAAGATCAGTAGCGGCTGCTCTGCGTCATGTTGGTTTTGATCAGCCTAGAGTCAAGAGAGATGGGTTGTTTTTTTCCCGTTGTAGAGAAGGTGAATTTTCATGGCCCCTGTTTTTCCCTGCCAGGCTGTCTCTAGGAGCGTGTTCTGGGCAGCTAGCCCAGAACTGGGTGACAGACACATTTGCCAAGCGCAGCGTTTTCAGTGTATTGCCTCAGAATGCAGGGGCAGCTTAACTGCACGGAGACTTGACGTTGCAAGATACTGCACCTTCCTAAATAATGTGACAAAAGTACAACGATACAGAGATCTCGTGTGTTGGAGGAGCAAAAGATGAGGAGGAATGAGACGGGGATCATAGACCGTTGCTGTGCTTGGAGACTGGGAGTTGTCCTCTGCAGCCGGTGAGCATCGCGAGCTGGGGGAGCTGGGAATTGCCGGCTGCCTGCCTCCCGTCGCTCTGGATAGTCAGCAGGGATGGGCCACCCCCTGTCAGGGGAACATCTGGTTGGGAGTTACGGGATCATACCATGGATCCAAGGTATGCCGGGGAGCTGTGCATAGTGACATTAAATTTACCACCATCTCGACATAATCGAGCTTCCCGGGGAATCTGTTCCTACACAAAGAACCGGCTCTGGGCTTGGGTGTGTGGAAGCAGCAAACGGTTATGGGTGTCGCGGGCTTCTTGCAACGCCGTCACCGTGAGACCTTAACTACAAGTTATCATTTATGCCGCAATCTGTAGACTTAAATGCATTTTTAAAAGAAGTTGTTTGTTTTTTTTTTTAAGCACGACACATGTTACACAAAGGACTGTTACATTCAGTTTATTCAAATAACAGAGAGCTCACATTTTGTGACAACATTTCTCCAGAAATGGGGTGGGAACCTGTGTAAGTGTGAGCACTATCATGAAGGCAAAATAGGGATTTTTAAAGGCAAATGATGATTCCTGAGTCCAAGTAGTAACTAGGAAAAATTGAAGTCAAAGTTTCAGGTCCTGCTCTTATCAAATCTCGTTTTGAATTTTAGTAGTCAGTTGTAGGAAGACAAATGACACGGGCAAATTCTTCATATTTTATTGTTCCATTTGGTCCAACTTTGGCTTCTTTTAGCAGGTCATCAACTGAAAGAAAGAGTAAAAGAAAATATAAGTTTGAGTGGCATATACTAGAGGCGTTGTGATCTTCAAAAGAGGAGCAATGCAGGATTTGGGTTTTCAAATCATTTTTCTTAGCAGTATTAACTTCTGGGATCAGTTGGAGGTGCCATCCGGATTGTCGTTTTAAGCGAGCATCAGTCAGCACCTCGGTTTTGATTTCCATGTCTAGCTTTTTGGAGCAGAGATGTCCATCTCCGAGTTCCACATGCAAAAGATTCACAAATTTAATCCAAATCAGCTTTTAATGGCTCTCGGTAGGAGTGGCTGGTTTGGCTGGAATAGCAAACCTGTCCCTAGTCAATTTAGACAAAACTAAGTGCTCATGCAGATGAGGTGCCCAACTTTAAGTAGATTTGTGTGATGCTCATTAATATTGGCGGGCCTTCAGTGTTTTGAAAGCGAAGAATGCCTTCTCAGCTGCGGCTCCAAGGCTCTGGCTGAAAATACTTCTAAAGAAGCGGTAACGGCACCTGGCAGTAGCGATGCTTTTCATTCCAGCTTCGGGAACGCCGCCGCAGTGACAGCAGTTACCTAACTTAAAATGCTCTCTTCTGTACAGGCTAAACCATTAGAAGATGTTTTTCCTGTCAAATAATGTCAATAAACTACAAGTACGTAAGAAGTGACACATAGAAATGTAACGTTGAACGTTGCTGAATGAAGCTGCTGCTGGGAATTGGATGCCGTATTCCTTCGGATGAGAGGAGAGGCGGCGAATTCCCTTGCTTGTTTACTTTACCCGTAACACAGAGTGGGTGGGCGCTAAAACAAACATCAGAGAGTCCCAGCAGCTTTTATTTGGTACTGTTTTGGCCAGCGCTTTCCTTCGCTAAGTGCAGAAGAGGTTTTTGCGTGCACGCTTGCCACTGTTGAGGGGCCTGCGCTGTCCCCAAGCACGCTGCCGTGTTCCTCGGGCCATCGGCGCATGAACGGGGTCGTGGCTGGATGCTGCGCAGAGGGATGGGGCAGGCGGGCTGTCGCAGGGGAGGCTGTTGGGTTGCGGACCTGCATTTTTCCTTTGATATTTTGTTGGCAGGACACCTTCTAGGCGCTTAGAGCCTGTTGATAGACCGTTGAAACGGATGGATCGTACACAGCCATGCGCTAATTACGAGTCCTCCATAATCCCGTGCCCGTGCGGGCTGGAGTCCCCTGGCCGGGGCAGTGCTCGCGTGCTCTCCCTTTCTGAAATGGGTGAGGGCAGCTCAGCGGAGGCTGATCTGTGTCTTTAGAATCACAGAATCGTTAAGGTTGGAAAAGACCCTTAAGATCATTGAGTCCAACCGTTAACCCAGCACTGCCAA